TAATATATGAACAGAGTACTACTTCAAAATGCTTACAAGCAGCTAAAACAGAAACCAATAACAACGCCTCAGTCCAAATGATGATAAAAAATTGTATTCCCTCGGTCACATTCTTTTATACATAATTTGATTATTAATGAGTTTTAAGTTTTCAAATTTGACTTATGAACTACACAAGTAATAGTCATCACCTCTAATAAAACTAATTGAACCATTTTCATTATCTTAAATCCCCTAAATAACACAGATCTCAATAATTTAACACAACCAAGAAACATATATTCATGCTGGTGTGGATTTTGCCTAAGAATAAACCTAATTTCCTAATGTGTGCTATATATCGTAAATGACTACACATTATGTTCAAAACACTAAAACACATGATACGAAAACATTTTTGTCTCTGTTATCTATGAAATTATGAAGATGTTAAAATGCAATAAAAAGTTTTACACATCCTGAACATTGTTATGACAATATATTATAGCTTCGTTAATACAAGAATAGAAGGTTTCCTATATATCATGTGGCAAAGTTCAATGTAGACTGGAGATTTGAAGACAAACCCTAGAGTTGAAAGGCTTCAGATTGAGCAGTACTAAAAAAGACCACATGGAGTGCAAGTTTAGTATTGCACTGAAGGAGGAGGAGGGGAAGTGAGCATTGATATACAAGTCATCCTTAAGCGAGGGAACTTCAATTATCTTGGGTCTATCATCAAAGGAAATGAGGAGATCAACGGAGACGCTGCACATCGTATTGGAGCAGGGTGGATGAAATGGAGGCTTGCAGGTCTATGCGATAAAAATGTGCCACCGAGACTTAAAGATAAAGCAGAGTGGTTGTTAGATCAACTATGGTGTACATGGTGAAGTGTTAGCCAGTCAAAAACTCAAACGTCCAAAAGATGAAGGTAGCAAAGATGAGGATGCTTAAATGATGTGTGGACATAGACAGGATTAGGAACAAAGACATACGGGTCAAGGTGGGAGTAGCCTCCATGGTGGAAAATTTGAGGGAAGCGAGGTTAAAATGATTCGGGCATGCGAAGAAGAGGAGTGCAAATGTCCGGTGAGTGACATAGGGCATGCGAGTATGTTTCTTTTTTCAAAATTTTCATTGAAGTGTTTTACTCTTGCATTTCTATAAATTGTTCTATCACCAAACAACCTCTCTACCCCAACAAAGGTAGGGGTAAGGTCTGCATACGCCTCACTCTCTCCAGCCCCCACGTGTAGAACTATACTAGGTATGTTTTAGAAATAGTGACAAATGTTACAAAACTGAAAACATGCAGAAGTTAATACCTGCACGATTTTCTGATATAAATTGCGTAGTAGGTCAAACAACCCTTAATATTTAAACCTTTTTATGCGCCAGAAAATGTTATTCTACATTACTTGAGAGTTGGCCAAGTACATCTAGCATTGCATAAGAAAAAGAGTGCCTGGTGGCGGCAATCCTTTTAGACTGTGTCATTCTACAGCTTCCAATAACTATCCTACTGTTTCCTGGCAACCAGTTCATATTATAAAACAATGCAGAGATTTATAAATGGAAAAAATTATTCAGAGCAAAATAACCTCGCATCTAATAACTTAATATCATTTTCGTATAATGAATAGAATTAACAATTATGAAAAAGTCGTGCAAAAACCACTAGCAACATATTTTATGCAAAAAAACAAATAAGTCAATAAGTGAAATATTTGGAAATAGCATTGCAAGGGACGAGACCAGATCATGATACCGTTAGTTGTGCATAATACACTTATACTTTTGAATTGCTTAAACCAATCAATAGACCTTTATATCAACAAAATGACTTCTGAAGTCCAAATAACTCAAATTAGCCTCATTACTTGCATGTAATATCCATGAGCCACATACATAAAACACTATAAACATAACAAGATATCTCTTGGAGACGAAAATACCAAATGAGAAACTAGCCTCAACTAAGTCCAACTCAAGAAGAAAACTGGAAAAAGGTATACATAAGTTGTTTGTGACTTACCACGTAATAGATTAAAAAATTGTCTTTGTCCTCCATGTAACTTGATCTAAGATTAAACCGGATCATATAAATAACCCACAAGGTTGTAGCTAACGTAGCTAAATCAAGTAAGGTGTGTATATCATATTCCATGACAAAACTGCAATACAGCCTAACAGCCAAAAACATAGCAGTGAGCTCCTGGGATTTGAGTGAAAGACCTGCAATGATATACATCAGAGTCAATCAGAACAAACTGAGGCATAGGATTGAAACAGAAATACAAGACCAAGGTCCCTAATACATGTTCCAGTTTCCACATTGAAATCAAGAAACAGATCCCTAATGGAAGAAAAATTTGTACCTTCTAAGAAATAAAGAGGATATATGAGAAGAAAAAAAACTCAAAACCAAAATTTAATAGGATTCCTTAAAAACGTATAATTTGGCGAGTTAGTCTGAGCTTTTCCACGCAGTTGCGCACTCTTTGAATAGGAAACCATTTTATGAAAGATCTTGGCTTTCGAACTTCGTGGGTCTCGGAGATCCTGTCGATGACCTATGTTGAAGGGATATCTGTCACTTTTTATTTTTTGGATATGTTTCTTCACTTAAATTCTCTCTAAGATGGTACAACAGGCGGCAGCCCTACCTACCCGCTAATTAGCTTCTGATGTATTCACTAGCATTGATTTTATTAAAGGAATGGTACAACGATCAAATCAATTGAAGATTAAAGTCTTTCTTTCTTCCTGAAAATGTAAAAGAAACCACCCATACTCTTATAACTCAAATTGGATGACTTTTAAAGAGCTCAAGGAAAAATCTTTTGTCAATTCCAACGATGACATTTAACTAGCAGAGAAGTCATGAAAGAAAGTTTGACTGCTTCACTCAATCTCAAGAAGGTTGTTTTACTCCTTTTTTTGGTCCAACTCAAAATATTATCACTTTCCTTAATGAGAAATCTTTGTGCTGCTAATAACTATGATGGTTCAAAATCCCACACAAAGTTTCTAGCTTTACTTTGTTGGTCATTAGAAAAGCCTGCTTACTGAACCTTTACAGAGCAGAGGTTTACATTTGCAGATTTTCTCAAGATGCCAGTTTGTTGACGGGATGCAGAAAACAATAAGCATCTATTCCTACATAGCAAGACAACAGTCTGTATTAAATGTTCTTTAATATTCTTGGAGTGAGCTGGTTAATACCAAAACTAATTTTCAAATGCTTAACAGTTGGAAGGGAGTGGGGGTAGACAAAACACAGAGTTGGTGGCAATGCTGGGAAGCATATGGTGGACAGTGTAGAAGGAAATTAGAAAAGAAATTTTGAAGATAGAAGCAGTCAGATGCAGAAAATCAAGATGAAATCCCTCAGTTGCTTCTATTTTTGGTGTAGACAAGACCAAATGGGGGATATAGATGATTTAGTAGAATTCAAAGGACAAGAGTAAAGCCAGTTGGCTTTTGCTTCCACCATCTCATATTTTACTTCTTTCCAATGGATATGTAACTCATGTTTACTATGTTAAGAGACATCATCTCTAGCAAGAACTTCAAATCTAAGCAAGTGCTCTAGCACTTCTTCACAGTCACCTCACAGATCTAAAATTGCTAGCTACGAGAAGACATACTGCTTTATACAGCTGAGTGTACTACTTTTGATTAATGTTGACAATGAAAAAGAAAAAAAAAAGAACCAAAGCAAGTTTTGCAGCTACTACATTTTAACCTACAACAATAATTGCACTCATTAAGAACAAGGCACCAAAAGGAAAAGTTGCTCTAATTTACTGGTGGATCATACAATTCACTAGTCACATTCAAACTACTACAAAATCAACACCACTCAATAAAATTGAAAATATATATATTAACCGATAAAGAGCATAGCATATGACTACAGCAGACAAGATTCCCCAACCCCTTCACAACACCCATCCTACGAACTCTTCAGACCTAAGAAAAAAGTCATTTTTAAAAAAGAATGCAATCAAACATGAAAAACCCTTCTATTCTTCAGTTCAAATTTCGAATCCAACAACTAAACCCTCGAATTCATCAGCAGCTGAACCAAAAAACCTCTAATCTACGAAGTTCGCATTTTTTCCCCGTAAAACATGTTGTTTCTAACCTAAATGACTAATCAATAAAACTTCTGCTAATTAGATCTTCAGTAATTCAGGCCAAAGAAGCAATTTTTTCTAATCCATCTGTTCAATAAACAATAATAAGAAGGCTTTTTTGAAGAAATTGAATTACCGGCACAAGTTTTTTCTTTCATGAGCTTGTAGATGAGAACGGAGATTCCAATTGAATGAACAGCTTCAGCGGCGACGAAGAGGTTATCGTGATCGTGGACGATGGCGCGTAGCAAGACCAACGCCGCCATACCGGTAATGACGGCCAGAAAAGCCTTGACCTTAGGCGGTTGCCGGCGGACCCATGTCGACACGACTTGGATCGGCCTCCGTGTCGTCCTCATACTGATTTTTCTCGATTAGTTGATTTACCCAAAATTCGATGATGAAATCTACAGATTGAAATATTGGAACTTCAAAATGAAATGGCAGTAGTAATTTAGGAATCCTCTTTGGAGTTGGACTGGGACACCACTAACTATGCACCTACCTTGTGGCCTGTGGGTCGATATATTTATTTATTTAATTAAAATATTTTATTGCCTTGATTTAGCAATTGTAATTATAAAATTACTATTATCCATCTCTAATTAAATGTCTCAATAATAATAATAATAATAATAATAATAGATCTGCCAAAAATAAAATCTTATTTTTCAAAAATATGGCAAATTTTTTTGAAGGATATTGATGGTTTCATAAACATGTGATAAGGCCATATCAGGCTTAAATTTTTTTAGGATTTTTCAAATATTAAATTAAACTTTTTGTTTCTTTTTCACCACTAACTTTAACCTCTTTGTGAACATATAATTCTACCATTTGAATCAAGTTCTCTTCACCACTTTTGGGAACATACTCTTCAACATGAATATGATCGTACGTATCAACAGGTGGTCACAGCAATAAGGTTGCAAATGCAGCTAAACTGAGTACAAGAAACAAGATAGCATGTTTTGGGCAAACAGAAACTAATAGCAATTCCAGTTAAAACAAGAAAGAATCAGACTAACCATATCTGACTACACATTCTATACTATTTCTTACAAGACCACTGAATTGCCTTGCTGGACCTGGGGACTTCAATTGTATTTCTCCGCATGTTATAAGCTAGAAACAACTTCTGAATGTCAGGTAAGATGGATGTAGTAATCAAAACGAAGCTGATCGTTTCAACACAGGTTTCAGCTGCTTGTCCTCCTCAAGTGAAATCATTCCCAAATGGGATGGGTCTTCAAGCATCATCTTTGCCACCAAATAACCAGCAATTGACCATGTTTGGTGTTTACGAGCTTGCTTGCCAATGAATCGGCCAAGTTTTCCATCATAATATTCAGGCCACCCATCCTTGGACAAACGCTGTTCAGCAAGTTCAATGGCACGCCTTGCAATCTGAGGCCTCCCGGTCTTGATACATGCAGCTGTGAGGAGCCATAGAAGCACTGTAGCCACATACAATCAAATATGAGAGGGATCTACTACACACTTCTTTTTATCAAAATAGGGCATACAAGGAAAATCACTATAATAAAATATTATGTATGAGCTGAGCGGCGCACAGCCATGATAAAAACTCTGTCAATGATGTTTCTAAAGAATTGAATACCCAGTTTTACACAGTTTCGGAAGTCCTTGGGCTTGTTTTATGAGGAACTAAAAGAGTGATTCGATATCCCAACCAAATTATGCAGATCTTCAAATATAACTAAAATCAACCTTCAAACAACAATTGGAAAAACATTTTTTTTTTCCCTGAGATAATCATCAGCTCATCCCTATTATATTCCAAAATTCAGTTTATACCATAGAACAAAACAAGTTAAATAGGTACCTGGCCATGATCCCCCATTGTGATAGCTCCATCTAGTGTTTTTTGGGTCGCATCCTGTTACAATCCGCCACTCATGACCCTCTATAGCCGGATAACAAACCTTCAAGGGCATCTCTCCTACCAATTCGTGCCAGCGTGAGTCAATAAGATCCATGATCTTGGTTGCCTGTTCGGGGGTTGCTAAGCTTGACAAAATTGCAATACAGTTGCCTAAGCAAAACCAACGGAAATCCATGTTTGAAGGACCGACATTACCAAGGAAATAACCACCAGAAACTGGCATGAAATCAAAAACCCATTCTGGAAGAGAATCAGGCATGACATTGAACTTGTTGACTGCTGTGTGGGAATATTCTTCAGTTTTATATCGGTAAATGTCATTAAGTTGCTTCAAATCAAGCCAAAAATAATTTCTCATGTGGTAGCTCAATGCATGCAGTCTCTTCACAATCCGTTCTACGAACTCCTTCCCTTCAGCATCATGCTTGAGTAAAAGAAGCGCACACCTTAAAGCCATGAAGAATAGTGCCTGTATTTCTATTGGGTACCCATACACACCCTGATATGTTTGTTTACCACAAAAAGTAGTCAGTGAAATTGCAGGATATAAGTGCATACTTAAAGCACAGAAGATACAGAAGGGCAAGTTTCTTTTAGTTGCAGCAAGCACTTGCACATTATGTATTTGAATGTAAAGGTTGATATGAAAAAAGAAGAGAGATAAAGAGAGACACGTATGCAAGAAATGTTTAGGAACTACAAAAAGAGATGCCACTTGAAAAAAAATCCACCTAATCTCAACATTCATGCTAAATGAAGAGATGTACTACAGTTATGAGAGACCTATCTTTCTAGTAAAATAAGAGTACAATATTCAGCCTATCTCAAGTAGGTGAAAACAATTTTGTCATGGCAAAAGAGCATATATATTATTTGGACTCCACAATGACAACCCTGTCCGAAGGGGAATTAGAGTAATTCAAATTTAGAACAAGCTTGAAAAGAAGAAACTCACCATTCTACGATCTATCATAGAGCACCCATCGGCACAAAGAAGAGTTGGAAATGTGTCAAACCCCTCTGAAAGGCATAAACTGAGAATCAAGCGCATACCCTTCTGGCATTCAGGCAGCTCAGACAAGGAGGTGTCCCCTGTAGACTTTGTGTATGCACGAAGTAATATAATCCACCAAAATCCAGAATCAATAGGAGCCACTCTTCCTATTGCACTCTCGCCAAAATCTGCTATTAATGTCTCGGTATTTCTAACCGGATCATGGAGTACCTTGAAACTAGCTGGCATTACACCCTCTCCCAGTTGGAACCGGTCTATCTTTTTCTCCCACGATTGAAGACGAAGAGTTTTCAAGAGGAAATTCTTTACTATTTCGGGTTCCCTGTTCATCAGAAAAGCCAGTGCACTTGGAACAAAATCTCTGACAAACACCTGAAGTTAAAGATGGCTATTAATAAACATCTTGATCATGAATAACAACCACTACCTTTTGTACAACGACCTCCTCCATGTACAACAAAAAGAATCCTTTTCTAATGTCTTTAGAAACATTTATCAACTACAAGAAAGAGATATTCCAAAAAGTGTATTGACCGATGAACTTTGCAAGAATACAACTCAATTGCTCACTGACCTGACTTCCTTTCGAGTCCTCTAATAGCAAAGGAAATTATCCTGTCCAGATATTAGTGTATCTAGAAGATAGCTTAAGTGGAGATCCCAGTAAATCATGAGTTTGGAGTTGGGGAATACAGTGCCCACAACACAAATTGGCATTCGATTATATCCAAATATTAACCCTTTCAATTGAACAAGGAACTTTCATTATTACGGAAGGATAAAAGAAACTATAACTTATTAAGTAGAAGACTACAAAAATATCTCAGAGGAATAAGATGGCATCTCTACTCCCCTCTGAATAGTGATCTTCTGGCAATTAGCACAATTTATCAAGAGCCAAACATTGTTGACCAACAAATTTATTAACTTGCAGTAGATGGTTATAAAAGGGCAATTCATATTTGGACCAATAGCATAACAGAGTGATTGCACACGGTTCCCAATGGTAACACTAAACTGACCCGATTACTATACTACAGAATACAATTATCCCAAGCACAAGTAATCAAGAACAAGCTTTTTTCTACTGTACTGTTTCATACGCAAAAATTATTCAGTCAAGTCAACTATAGATAACTTTACATGAGGTGATGGTAATTCGAATTCCTATAGCAACTGCAGAGTATGTAAATGCCAAATTATGAAATCAATGATTCACACTAAGCAAATATAAAATTCTTTCCATTGACAGAGACAAAGTTAACTACTCAATACAACAATGCACAGACCATTGACCTTGTAACAATTATAACATAACAGGCTTTACCTGATCATAGTTAAGCTTTTCATCTGAATTATCTAGAGCAGCAATTGTCCCAACAGGCTGTCCACGGAAGTGCACCAAAGTACGTCTCAAAGAGTCCCAAGCCTCAGCAACCATAGGATGTGGCCCTTGCCCAAAAGGTGACCTGGGAGTAGTGAACTCGGATCTTTTTGATGGAGAAAATATACAATCAAAATGCTCCAAAGCACGGAAAAAATTTTCAGCTCTAGAAGGGGGATGAGGAGAGAACCCCAGTTGAGTTTCAGTAAGGGACTTCTCATCATATGAACCTTGCCTCTCAATGTTCAAGTTTCTTGGCCTAGGTAACCTCGAGAAATCAATGTCATCCAATTCAGTTACAGTACTACATGAATCAATATTTCTTATACTAGCATCATTGTTAGATACATCCCCCGAATGCGTTGACATTCTTGAAGCCTCTATGGATTTACAAATTAATTCAGAGGCTCAACAATCTGCATCAAAATCACAACTCAGTAACCATGCATACTGATAAAAGTTTGAAATAAGGGCCATTGCTTGAAGAGACTAAACAAGCCAAGAAAATCAATCATAACCCTTTTTTACTTTGGCCCTTTTATTAGTCACTAATGAAACAGTAGAGGCATTAGCCCAATTAACAAAACAAGAAATCATCATACAGATGTATGATGTATCAAGATATATCATTAATCAAACAGTAGAGTGCACCTTAGATTCAACTATCAAGATTCTCTTTCTTTAATTTTTCTTTCTTCTTTCGAATCAAACAGGGGAATCATCTAACAGATACAAAATTGGATAACCCATATCAAAACTTCCAACGGAGCCCAACCAATGCATGCATGTACTACTAACGATCTCCCAGAAAGCCACACAATGAAGAAGACAGACGGTTCAATAAATTTATCTCTATTAACGACTATACCGTTACGCTCTATTTGGACTTATTTCACATATAATCAAGAAATCACTCACACGATAAAGAAACCATGTTCTTGAATGGGCATTTGCAACTTACACATACGACGAACAAAATCGGATGAAAAGGCAAGAACGAGAATGCATCTACCATCAATGACAGACAAAAAAAAAAAAAAACGAAGAAAGAGAATCTAAGATGCACTCTACTGATAAAAGTTTGAAATCAGGGGCATAGCTTGAAGAGACTAAACGAACCAAGAAAATCAATCATAACCCCTTTTCTACTTTGGCACTTTGATATCTCATTAATAAACAGTAGAAGCATTAGCCCAAATTAACAGACCAAGAACCTTAGATTGAACTATCAAGATTCTCTTTCTTTCGAATAAAACAGGGGAATCATTATAACAGATGTATAAAAATCGATAACCCATATCAAAATTTTAAACGGAACCCAATCCAATGCATGCACATACTACTAACAATCTGGCAGAAAGCTACATAACAAAGAAGACAAAACCATCGATATTATCGACTATTCCATTAAACTCTGTTTGAACCTATTTCACCAAAAATATAAAATAAGAAATCACAACCATGTTGTTGAATTGGCATTTGCAACTTACACATTCGACGACCGAAATCTGATGAAAAAGAAGAAGAGCAATGGCATCAATCATCAATGGCGGAACAAAAAAAGATATAGAAAGAAAGAGAAGAGTAATGGGAAAGTGACAGGTTACTCACAGATGAATGGCGGAATGGATTTTGGATCGTTGTTTGTGCTACTGCGAGTCTGCATTATTTGTGTACGTATCATAGCTGTGTCACGGAGAGAATGTGAACTGATTACTCGTTTTCTTGCATTTGGATTTTTTCACCAATATATAAAAGGGGTTTGTGATACACGAGACCTATAACACTTAAAAATTTTAATTAGAATTTTGTCTATAAATTCTTAAAAGATTTTTAAATTCTAAACTACATTTGTACTTACAAGTTAACATAATTAATTACTCAAAATTTGTTAGAAATTAAATGTCTATTGGTTTTTGTCTTTATTAAAGATCATTGATTTTGATTTTACGATACTAATTGTGGCATTCTTGGAATCTATGTTATTTAAATTCTTTAAAAATAGTGTTACATCTATTTTGAATTATTCAAAAATAAATTTAACTTTTCAAAAATACAACGCAAATTTATTACTTATTAAAAAGAAATTCAATGTACAATATTGATTATTGTTACTTTTGTTGATATTTTATTTGTAAAATTATTCTAATAGAGTATAATATATATATATATATATATATATATATATATATATATATATATCCATTTATGATTTTAACTTGATTTTAGAGAATAAATATGTCTATTAATTTTGAGTGTACACAAATAAACACTTAGGACCCGTTTGGTAGGAAGTATTAATCAAAATAATCCATGGATTAAAATATAGTCCAAACAAAAACATTGTTTGGTTACTTTATTTAATCTAATCCATGGGTTACTAATAGCTCATACATGGTCTTATATTATCCCTAGGAAAGGGAGGGATAACTAATCCAAGGTTTAGCAATCCTTGGATAAGACCCCTAATGACTAAATTATCCCCAAATCTTTTTCCTATTTTTTTTTTTTTTGTAATTCATGTTCTTTTTTTTATTTATATGAGAATATTTATAATTGTTCATTTAATTCTCCAAATTTATTCCATGTAATTTGATGATTTCACAAACTAATATTTTTTTCTCCAGGTTTGAATTGTTATATTGGGTTGATTTTCTGTTTTTAAATGTAGTTCATCAATTGACCACGTAAACAATTTTTTTAATTTTTAAAATAAGCTAAGCGTATTTGAACAATTTAAGTAGCCTTAAATTCATGTTAAGTTCAAGGTAAATTTGACCAACAAAAAATTAGAAATATACCATGTGACATATCACACCTCAAAATTAATAATATTTTTATATATTTTTTTTAATATTTAAGTTGACTAGTTAAATGAAATATAATCTCACAATAACTAAAGGGTATAATAGGAAATAAACTTTTTCTAAAGTTTTAAACCAAACATAAGACTAAGTAGGAAATAATGAACCAAACACTTGCTAAAAAATAATCTCTGCATTACTAAACCCTGCATTAGTAATTCCTGCATTATGCATCTTTGTAACAAACGATCCCTTAATTTATATAAAATTGTTCAACTAAACACGCATACCCTACATGACATAATACACGTAAGATATCACATAGGACAAAAAAACTGCCGTGTAAGGTATCATATAGGTTGAATGTGCCCATTTGCTCAATTTTATACAAATTTAATGTACACTTGTACACACTCAAAATTAAATAACATTATTATCAAACTGATGATAAATTAAGAGTTATACGAATTAATCTTTTGCATGTGGTGTTGGGTCATGTACATGAAGAAAACAACAGAAATAGTCACTTCGTTGTAACTTTGAAGATTCACGATCAGTATCCCTTTAAATCTTGTGTTCCCCAGTACTCCAGCAGTACATGATGACAATGACATGTATAACACATATAGTCACTTCGTTGTAACTTCGAAGTTCAAATTAGATGTTTAAATTTATTTTCATATTTGACTTTCTATTTATTAAAGTTTTATAATTTTTAAAAGATAAATTACACTATTTATAAAATTAGTATATTTATTTCACAGAGACGATAGTGGAAATATGTCCTTGATATTTTAAAAAATGTATGTACATTGTTTCACAAATTCAATCAATATGAAAAACGAAAAATAGAATATTATAAATTGTGTATTTATTATTTTTTTCTTAACAGATGTAAATTAGCTAAAAATAGTTGTTCACAATTGACTTCACACACCCCTTAAGAAATCATAAATAGAATAATAATTTTACTATATTATTCTTTGAATATAATAAATATAATATCTTAAAAAATATAATTAAAAAATAATTATAATTAATGTTAAAAATAAATTTAGAAATTAAGCGTCAAAATTTTTCAATAATTTTATAAAACAAACAAGTATTATTAGAATTTTAAATTATAAGTACCCCTCAACCTATGCTCGAAATCTCAGAGACACGCTTATACTATAGTAAGGTCCTATCACCCCTGAACTTATTTTATTAATAATTTTTTATCCCTTTTCGACCTACGTGATACTATCTTGTGGGCCCAACGATGGTTGACTTTTTTTTTTCAAAGCAGTGCCACGTAGGCTAAAAAGGATAGAAAATTACTTATAAAATAAATTCAGAGGTAATAGGACCTTAGTATAGTATAAGTGTATCTTTAAAATTTTGGACATACGTTGAAGAAGTACTTGTGCATTATCTCAAAATAATACCGGAAATACTATCGTGCTTTTGATTCTTGCAGGATGGGGGACTTTAAGTTGGTTAATCCATTAATTTGTAGTAGTACAATAAATACCGAAAATTGCTATAGGCAGTTTGAGTCAAAAAGTAAAAATGTAAGTGTTGTTGAAAATTGAACGTCGAGTTGGAATAAGAAAAGACTCTTTAATTTTTGTAATACGTAAATTATCTTAGTTTTTAAATTTAATTTGTTAGGTGAGATTGTTTAGTTTTAGGATAAGTTAAAGTTGATATTAATTAATTTTTTGGATTAATTATCGAAATTTCATCTTTCTGTTTATTTATTATTGTTATTCTCTATAACTTTCATAAATTTCAAAATTTCTCATTTTCGTGCATCAAATTAATGTATCTCGCGCATAAAATATATCTCAGACATCAAATTAGTGTATCTCGCGCATCAAATTAATGGATCTCGCGCATTAGATTAGTAAATCATGTATAAAATGTATCATGCACATCAAATTAGTGTATCTCGTGCATCATATTATTGTATCTCACGTATCAAATTAATGTACCTCGCACATTAAATTAATGTATCAGCGTTTATATTATTGTATCCGCTTTGAGGGATTTTTGAAATTATAAATTTTTAACGAATAGATTGTAATTTTACCTTAAAAGTATGTGATTTCTGTAATATACCTTTTTTATTTAGAACGAGTAAAAGTAATATATATCCCATTAAATTATTAATAAGGATGTAATGATAAATTTATGTAAAATCTTAAAGAATATCTATTTTTAATAAAGACATGATATAAATAAAAACGAAAGGCTTACCGAAAAAGAATTTAAGAGTATTTTATTGTTTTGATAGTTTTCTCTATAAATAATAAATCTCATTATTGTTATTATTATTATTATTATTATCCTGACTTTGGTTTTTGGGTGCCTCAATTTGGGCCTCAATCTTTGTGTTAGTGTTGGGTTTTGGTATCACTTTCACGTTCGTGTAAATTAGGTATATATCATATTATGTAGTCATATTCTCAAGTTATGGCATAAGAGTTTGATTTTCATTCTATAACATTTAATATATCAACTTATAGCATTTCTTTAAATTAAAAGTTATAAATATTTATTCTAAATAGGACGAAAAATAAAATTAAAAAATGAATAATAAAAATTGGATAATTTCCTTGAATGTAGTTACTATTATTAACTGATAACAAAATGTGCACCTTTTAAGGGATTTTAAAATATATTAATTATAGATATGCACCTTAATTATCTCAATCCGTTTTTAATGGTAATTATTTTTGATTTTTTATCCTTAAAAAATTGTATTCTGTTATCTTTCTTCCCATAAACGTGTATCTTTTTTTTTTCCAGAAATTGACTATATTCATATATTCGAATTCTGTCATATTTTATCATTTTTTTTTGAAAAAACAATTAAAATTGAAGGTTGAAAAAGTTTAGATTTGATTTGATGGAGAAAATTGTGTCAATTTTAATTAAACATGGTTCCTGTAACTTCACTTTCACTAATTGCGCCTTCATCATTCTTTGATTTTCCATAATGCCAAAGTCATCCCTAACATTTTCATTCCCCATTATAAATAAGTGTCTCAACAATTGAAATTGGATTTTAATGTGATGCGAATTATAAAAAAATCCAAAAGATGTTTCATCTAGGAATTGTTGAAACTTAATAAATCCGCAAACACATTCATGTTAATACATGAAGACAAATGTGTTTGTGTCTTCTTCTCCTAAAAAATTGTAAAAATTAAATACATTAATCATACACATAATCATACACATGTAATACAAAACTAATACAGTGAATCATACACAATTCAAACAAACTTACAACATAATATTGAAAAATACATAATTTATACACATAGTATACAAAACATAATGCAGTAAATCATACACAATTCAAACAAACTTACAACATAATATTGAAAAATACATAATTCATACACATAGTATACAAAACATAATACAATATAATCATACACATTTCAAACAAACTTACAATATTCTTTCATACACAATATATTCAACACCAAAATATACAAATCAAAACATAAAGTATAACTAATTATGGATATTACTATTCAACAATATCAAAAAATTTGATACAAAAAAATTTATACACAATTCATACACATTTTATATACACCGTGAATCATACAGTGAATCATATAAAATTCATACAGTGAATCATACACAATTCATACAGTTAATTATACACAATTCATACAGTGAATCATACATAAAAAATACATGTTTCAGCAATTGATATTGTAATATGAAGAGATCTGTAATTTCATACAATGAATCATACACAATTCATACATTATTTATTTACACAAAATTTATATTTTAACTATTTTATACCCAAATAACTGAAAATAAAAATAACAGAACATAAAAAAAATTAAAAAAATTAACTTTTACTAACCTTTGAACTTTTTTGGGGTTTAACTGTTTCTTCTTCTTCTTGTAAATGTGAAGTATCGATTTCAGATGCTCT